TCCTCACAAAAAAATAAAAAAAGTTTTGCTTTATTTGGTGGTATAAAATATTTTTATTCTTTAAGTTTTATTAATACTTTTACTGAAAACATTATTGTTGACAATGCTTTCTTAAATTTTTTAAAATCTTAGTTGAACACTGTGATTCAGTGATTCAAAGATTTGGATCTAAGTTTGCTTTACTTTGATACTTGGTTTTGCTGACTGTCATGGCTGAAAAAGATACCGACCATACAAAAAAATGTAGATCCAAATGGCAGAAGTATGTCATAGGTTGAAATTACCAAAATTTTCAATCCCATTCACTAAATATCGAAAGGGCTTTTGTTGAAATTTTTATGTTCCCTAATGATGTTATAGTTGTTCTTATTAAACCATTCAGAAGTTGTTATAATATTTTTAAAGCGCATGTTCAAAACCCAATGATTATGTTTATTTGGAAGATTTTAAAACTGATTAGAAAAACCTGTTATTAAGTTTAAATGTATAGACAGGAGATTTTTAAGAATAGGTGACACACACTGTTTTTCGTAACAAAATCCTAACATCCCTTTAATAAATGCACGCTCCATAGTTTGAGTTTATTTTAAAAAGCAGTTTTTAGTCTCCACATTGTTAAAATGCTACCTTTACCTGAAGAGACAGATTAATATCTGCTAGAAAGGTGCAAAATTGTGGTTTAATAGTCTCCTATTTGGGTATGGAAACAGGGAAGCTTGCTTTCTTGCTGGGCATAGAATACGTGTGGTGAGATAACACTGTTATCTTCACAGAAGGGAACTGTCATTGGAAGGATGTCTTTACCCCAAATACACCGTGTTGTATGTAGCTTTATTATGAAAAACCAAAAAAAGAAAATTCAAAAAAGAAAAGAACATCTGTTAGGTAGATGATTTAGTACTGCTTGTCTTTTTGTAAAAAAAAGAAGAACCCGTTTTCTAAGTTTAACAACTCTTTTAACTCTGGTACTGAGATATAAGAGCAAACTTCTGTGTGGTACAGTTTTTTTGCCCACTACCTATCGCATTTCTGTTTTAATGTTTCTACTATTAAAAGGCCTTGTTTTTATAAAATTGACCACACTGATGAAATTTTGTAATGTGTAAGTGACAATCCCCATGTAGAATGTCCACTCTTCCCTTAGGATTCCTCTGATATTGCATATGACATATGACTCTGCTGGCATGGGATCTGAGTAAGGATGTCAGGTTGTTCTATATATTAAATGTTGGAAAGCCTACTTCCTTTTTGGAAAAAACATAATAAACATTCAAATATTTTCGTAAACCTACTCTGCTTTGGAGGCCACAACCTTAAACCATATCCTAGGTACAGGTCAAAAAGTTGACTAATTCTTGATTCTCCCCCAGCATTCAAAAACTTAGTAGTCTAGGTAGAGGTAGAGGAGTCTCTTAATTTGAAAGTCTAAAGGACCTGGGGAAATATTGTCATGCTATGGATTTAAGATAATTCTGCAAAATTCTATATTGTCTACTTTTGTAACTGCATAAATTAATTTTTGTGTGTGAGGAAGATCAGCCCTGAGCTAACATCCATGCCAATCCTCCTCTTTTTGCTGAGGAAGACTGGCCCTGAGCTAACATCTGTGCCAATCTTCTTCCACTTTATGTGAAATGCCGCCACAGCATGGCCGGACAAGGGGTGTGTCTGTGCACACCCGGGATCCGAGCCCGGGCCACCAGCAGCGGAGCGCATGCACTTAACTGCTACACCACGGGGCCAGCCCCCTGCATAAATTAATTTTAAAGGATGTGAATAAGGATCTGATAAGCAGTCTTCTTATCAGAATTTATTTGAAAAGTAATTAATACCATAATTATTTCATAGTTCAGAACTATTTCAAGTTGAGACTTTTAAAATAAATTCAGACTAGTCTTCATTAGCAGTTCAAGTTAATGAATCTGTAATGTGCTTTGTTACTTGAGGTATTAACATTTTCCCCGCTATGCTTCTTAAGTAATAGGAGTGAAACATCCACATCTGATAACACCGAAACTTATCAAGACAATACAAGGTAAGCTTTTGAAAATTCTGCTACTTAAGTAGGTAATATCTATCACTTTATAATAATAGATTTTTTAATTAAATTTTTTATTCAGTAAATCATCAGACATAATGCTAGAAGTTAGCCGTTTAGAAACAAATGATGCACTTGCTGCTTTTATAGATCACATTAAATTAGAAGAGTTTAGGGGCCGGCCTCATGGCTTAGTGGTTAAGTGCGTGCCCTCCGCTGCTGGCGGCCCGGGTTCGGATCCCGGGCGT